TTTTATTTTTAAATAGAATATACACAAAATGATTTTTGTAGTTGCGGAACATTTTATATACTTTCAGGTTTAGGTTTTCTTAACGCGGCCGCGATATAATTGTTCAATAGAAAAATAAAGAATTAAATACATAAAATCTATTTTAATTGCTTTGGCGCGTGTGAAGTTTGACATGGTATAAATTTTGTATCGTTCGATACTGATGAATAATTAGTAATACTTGTATACCGTGCAATATACATGCAAGACAAATATACATGTTATAATAAATACCAACATCTGCAGCACATGAAACATGCAGCAGATTTATTTTTCATGCATGTTGCTAGGTCAATTTGTCGCCGACTTTTAACATTTAAAAAATCCGGCGCGCGTGCACCATTTATGAATGAATGCGACGGGTGTGTGTGTGTGTGTATCATACATGCTGCGCGCGTAATATTACGTAATTATTGCATTACTACGATCAACCGATCAGCTGACCAGAGCGTAGTAGCGAGGTAAGCCACGGTCACTGATCTAAATGGCATCATTTGGTTTCGACGTAAATCGGATCACTTGCGGTGTAATCGCAGGTCAATATAATTGTTGATAATTCGATGCAAATAAGCCGCGGAGAAAGACAAAAGTTTTTCAAATGCTGAGATGATTTCCGACAAGCTCAGAATTATTCACTTGAGTATTTTGCGAGATATATATATTATATCGCGCTTCTAAAACTCAGGTGCGCGGTGTGAATAAATTGTATTAATTAATTAATGTTTGTTACAGGCGTGCTTGAAGCAACGGCAGAGCCACGTATTGCAGCGACAGGACATCGGCTGGTGAGTAAATTTCACTATTACATTACATAATGCACGAATCGCTTTTATACAAAGTATAAGAGTGCAAAATAAGTACTACTCGAACTTACTTTGTACGTCTCTTATTGTCGAAAGAGTGCAGCCACCAAATTAGAATACGTTTTTTATACGCTCTAGGATCGAAGCGAATGTTTCTTGGAAAGACGTATAGATCATTCGCGCACATCCAAAATGTACCATATATATTGTGCATTATTTTTCTCTGCTTAATTTTGTCTTTCAAAGAAGCGGGCAACACCTTTAATCTTTTTAACCGCTCGAAATAATCTTAGCACGATCTATTTCTTTCATCTCACGAATGACACGAATTGTTGACGATGTGTGACGCTGCAGTGCAAAAACACACATTTATCTTACCAACGTTTGTTTCAACGAACAAACAAAAATTGAGATCGCCTCGGGCGAGAGCGTGATAACTTATTTTGAAACTATTATGTGCCGTGGATGTTAAATGTGCCGCGGCTGTTAATTAATCAGGCTTGTTAATTAATCAAGGCTGTACCGGAAACGTTGCACGTTCCGCACGTCTTGTCATTAATATCAGATTAATACTCGCGTAATGAACGTAACGCGAGTTGTGACGAGTGATGCGCGGCTCACGAGGCTGAATATCGTCAGCAACGCGCGAATAATTTCAATTATAAAATCTATCATTGAATTAACGGGATTATCGATGACAGCTGATTGCCGGAGCCCCGAGTTGCTCAGGCTTGTCACGTACGTTTGTTTGTGTGTTCGCTGATAGCGAGGCGATTGGAATTGCATATTACCATCGTACCGTTAGCCCCGGGGATACGCGCCCGATCATCATCGACCGCTGTCTTGTCGACGAAATCAACGAAATTTCGCCGAGAGGCAAATGACTTTATTCGCCTTTATCTTATTACCGACATTTATGTGTATCTCGCCGCGCGATCGTCGCGATAATCGCGCTCGTTGAATTATCGTGAATGTCAGTCAATTCTTGTTACTGTCCGCTGTTTCTGCTTCGCATTGTCGGTTTACGCTTTCACAATCGGTTACGAGATTTAATCTCTCCCGGATAAATTTATTTACGCCTCCGATCGATCTATGAATTCGCGTGCTTTTATTCGATAAACCCACTATATCGAGCTTTAAGTCTTGGAATATCGGATCGTATTGAGAAATACATTAAAATTTTTATATAATTGGAAGATGCATCTATGCACGCCAATCAATTTCGAGACGTATAAGATAGCAGTGAAACGCGATTTAGTCGCAAGCTGTTTTCCGAGCGAGAATGGCGTGTGACCGGCACGCCGATTCCACTCTGCTGCGACCGGATCGAAGTCGACCTTACCCCTCGGCCAGCGTTCTTCCGGATCAGCGGTCGTTTCACACAGGTGACGGCACGCCGGCGACATCACAGAGCCCTCAGCGTTTCGTCACGTGTCGAAGTAGCTCGTCTCACGGCTGATTAAATCGGGGCAGCGCCAGGTTGTGCTGACGCCTCCGCTCTGCCACGCGTGCACCGCGTGCGGAAGGTGAAGGAGGGACGTGGAGATGCCAGGGGGACGCGAAGGTGGGCTAGTTGAGCGCGCGGGGGTACGTCGGGTGATGCATGAATGGAGGCCGCGCGGCGGTGGTGGCAATCGACGACGGAAGAACGGCGTGTGTGCTTATGCGTCGCATCCCTCTCTGTCTTCCTTCCTCGTCCCGCTATTCACCCTGTCCCTTTCTCCCTCTCGGCAACTGTCCTCTCCTCGCCTCCCGCCTCAGCTGTAAGCTGACCCGCGCGCAGAAGCGTCCGATAAGAGTGGCGCAAACGTCGTCATATAAAGGGGCGCGCGGCGAGAGAAAACTATGACGTCATCGTTTCACCCTCAAGTGACGACGCGGCTAAATTGATGACGTACTAAGCCGCTTGTTTCGAGTGATCGAGTCTGCGCGGGGATATTTTCTCTCTCTCTCTCTCTCTCTCTCTCTCTCTCTCTCTCTCTCTCTCTGTCGGGAACGGTGAGATGTGCGGCCAGACGCCGCGACACGTTTTAGAAACTTTTAATTGTGTTGTATCGATATTGATGGCGAATTTATGAAAATAGGGCACAGCTATTAATGATTCAACGGTAACTCGAGACACAATTTCTGCTATACAGCGGCAGAGTGTAGGTGTATATTGGATATTTTATTGGAATTCTAATTTGGCGTTACTCCGCGCGGCGGATTGTTTTCCGAAACTTCGCGGTGATCGAAAAATTATAAGGAAAAGCAAGATAATCTAGGTAAATTTACTTGTTCCGCCATTCAATTTCTTTCCGACGCAAGTTTGGAAAACTTCTCGAGGAAGAGGAGAATTAAAGGAGCCTTACGGAATCACCTTACAAAATTAAAGTCCGCGCTTTTCATTGTCAAAGTAGAACATAATAATCCCGCGGTGATCCGTTGCGTCACGAGGATAAACGTCACAGGGGGAATTAATTATCCTTAGAATTTGTCCTCCTGTTTGTTCGGATTATGAATACAGTCTGAGATCATCGCGGACAGAGTAGCGAAAAAAAAATAGCGTCATATTTTTACGCGATAATTATCAGTCATCGGCTGATTACATTACGGGGTTGGCTGGATTGCGCGTTCCTAGGTCATAGGTTAATAACGACAGCACGTTTGCGCGCCTTGGATGCATTCCGGTGCATCGCTGCACGCACGAGCAGCGAGTATCGGCTCTCACAGTTTCTGCACATCGATATTACAAAACCGGCCGTAAGCAGCGGCATAAGCCCCGGCCGTCAGATCGATCTCGGTATATTTATGATAATGTGTAAGAAAGATGATGATGCGCTAACGCGCTTGGCACACATTACAAAATCGTCATCGTCGACGAATTGAATCATTTGTCACGGTCGTTTTACAGCTTTCAAGGAGGATATTAATTTGAGACTTAATTGTGGATTTAATGTTCAGCTTATCTATTTTATTGACGAGCGAATCTGAATATGGGAAATCTTTTACTGCGACTGGCAGTTAAATAGAGTCGTAATAAAAGTATTAAATTCAGAAATAAAGTTTCAATTGAAAAGATTCTCGTGGGGTCTGCGGGAGAATATTTTATTTTGCTATAAAATTAGAAAACTAGAATAAAATTAGGCTCTATTATATAGAATAATATCGCTGGCTTGATGTTGCGTTAATAGAAATTTATGCATTTATCTGAAAACATTTTTCGTGGAAAAACTTCAATAAAGCGCATAACAGCATCATCGTAAACTAATCGTACTTGCACTCATAAAAATCCGTTCGACTGCAGTATATAAAAGGCATTCGGCCACAGTACATAAAACGGATAACATCATAATCGTAATATAATTATGCCACGTTCGTGAAAATTGCTGCTACTTGCAAAACAGTTAAAGAAAATGAGAGACAGTTAAAGTAAACGAGGAACCAGGAAAATCCAGGACGAATAGAACGGATTTAAAGCCCGTGTCTTCTCTCTCTCTCTCTCCCTCTCTCTTTCTCTCTATCTCTCCTCTGCGCGCTTGTCTTTTTTCTCCCTTTATCTTAAACGATGCGGCGGTCCGCGTGCCGTTCCTGCCTCGAGGTTTGCGTGGGGGTTGAAACGGGTGCCGGAGGGGTGTGGGGGCGTAGAAGGGCGGGAGGGAAGAGGGTAGCAGCTGGGCGGCCGGTGGGTGGCGTGTGGACGTCATCGTAACGGCATCATCAGCCGCGTGGGCCAATAGGTGCGCTCATACTCGGGCCGGGACCATCGATCCACCGCCGCCGGCTGCTGCCGTGTGCGTGTCCCGGGTTGTGACGTCCGAGATGACGTCATTGTTAGCGCCGTTCGCCTCCCCGCGTCGCCGCTCCGCCCGTTCTCTGCTTCGCTCCGCGCCGTCGCCGCTGCCGCTACACACAGTACGGTTTTAATATAGCGGAGGAACGCGCGCGATCCGGACTCAGTTACGCGGCGGCCGGCCACCCGTACGAGTGTACCGCTTCTCAGGATAACCGAAGATTCCGCTCTCTCACAGGCTCTCTTTCACCTGTCTCTCTCTCGTTCGCTCTTCGTCTCTCTCGACGTCTCTCGGCTACGTTTCACAGGATTCGACGCCGAGGTCGTTACATTTTACGCGCGTATCAGAATCGTGCGGGACTGAGCGTTTGCGCGAGGGTGGCTTGTACCGTCGTCGCGAAACAGCGGGACACCTGTGCGATCCCGCTTCGGGTTTCCGCGTGTTGATCGTCGCGAAACGGTGCTCCGGAGTGACGATCCGCTCAATCGGCTGTCAGTGTTGAATGGTAATCGGCCTTCTCAGCGGGGATCAAGCGGGCTCAGACGGCAGCAGGTGCATCCGAGGGATCGGGTCCTAATTGAAGAAAAAAAAAAAAAAAACGACGATGTCGTCCGTCACGACGACGCGACAGCGACGATAAGCGGCGAGGCGGTATCAGGATTCTGCATGCGAGTGCCCAGGGCGGAAGTATTCGGGCTCCTCGGTGGGGCGCTGACCTCACGCGACATCATCAGGAAGGACTCGTCTTGCCCTACGACGACGCACGCAGGTCGGTGATACATCACGTGCTGTCTCACGTTCATTTGTTGTTGCGCGGGAGGAGGCTGTCGGCTCTGCTCCTGTGTTTTGTGTGTGTTGCGCGCGGGAATTCGTAGAGCACTCTCCGCCGGCTGACGGCGGGAAAATCTCATCTCATTCTCTCCACCCCGATTTTCCTTTCTCTCTTTCTCTCTTCTCATTTCTCTCCCTTCAAGCTTCTTTCACACACAACTTTTCCATGGAATTTCATGGATAATCGGACAGTTGATAAAGCATGCGTGCGGTCAACTGATAACGTGAAGATTTTCGACCGCGCTCAGTCGAAGATCTGATCGTTTTTCATCACCATTTCTACTTGTACGCCGTTCCTTCTTCCCTCGCTTTTACCATCCACCCGCCAGCCAGCGCGCATGCTTCATTTAAAGAGATGTACCGAACGTCACTTTTTTACATCTCCTCAAACGCGACGTGATTTTTGAAAACCAGTTGGCGTGGACCGTGAAACACACTGATCTCACTCTTTTACGATCTCATTGATTGCATGTAAGAAACGGACTTGTCGCAATTCGCTGATACTTGCTGATCGGAGGTCAGATTCTCTGTTCAGGATTGAGGCTGAGATCTAGATCTCCGATGCTCAGTGTATTGAAACTCACTCGAGACGCTTCACGCTAATTTCTCTCGAGAGGCCCGCGCGGATTTATAGAACCCGTGTTGATATCTCGGATATTCTCCGCTGTGTTGGACGCGCGTGCACAATTCTCAATCGCGATCCACGAGCGTGAGTCGCGAATTGTCGCGGGATGACACGCGCGATCGGCGGTCGATCGATGAACGGCAGCTGCTGCGATTGAACGAGGGGCGAGGTCGTCGTTGATCGTACGCGCGATGCGTACCACCGTCGAGGACAGTACCGGCAGCACGGAAGCGACCGCCGCTACCGTCGGCGTCGTGGCGCACCACCATCATCAACATCAGCAGCATCGCGGCGTCACCGATGCCGGCGGCAGACACCTGGGCGTCGAGCAGCAGGAGCGATCGGCGACGGTGCCGATCCACCTGGCCACCGCCACGCCGTATCATCAGGTTACCATCGCCGCGGACACCAACAACAATCACGATCATCATCGGAACCTCGAGCACCACGCGGTGCAACGCCACGATCATTGGAGCAAGTGTAAGTCAGATAAACGGGACACAAGATTGCGGATCACCCTATAAAAAGCTGCTCGCTGCTGGTGACGGTTATGGTGGTGGTGATATACGATGATGATGATGATGATGATGATGATGATGATGATGATGACGATGGTGGTGGTGGTAGCGATGGTGGTTGCCGCGCCGAGGGTGCTAGATCGCGATTCTCGACAATCGTCGTCGACAAGATGGCAATTTTTTATTTTGATAACATATGTAGATGGCTTTCTCTCGCGTTGATATTTCGCGTGCGTTGTATATTATGAATCTCGTTTGAGTATTGGGATGATTTGAAGCCCACTTTGATGATAATAATGGACGATGTAGAGGAAATTTGAGGGATTTTAAATCTCTCAATAAAAATGCAAACAGCATTTTTTTATTGGGAATTTAATAACAGCGGAAAAATTGCATGTTGAAACTTTCATGAAATTTTATTTTATAATTCACGAAACATTAAATGTAATGGAAAAAAATTAGTTCTAATTGATTCTTGTAAAAGTTTAAATTTTTAAATTTTTAAAGCTAAGAAACTGTTCGATAAATAACTACATTAAAGGATTTAACATTCCTTCAATACACGCAATTAAATATTAAAATATTGAAATTTTATTAGAACTACTTTTGATGTAGAATTGAAATTTATTATCGAATTATTGAATATATGAAAATGTCAATGTTCACGATTAATATTTAATATATTAACAGCCTATCACAATGAATTGAATTATGATTAAATTAGTTAATTGATTTTTTTCGATTTTGAATTATCAGTTGCATGCAGTTAAATTTATGTGATATGTTTAAAACTTTATGAAATATGATACTAAATTGAAATATTTATTTATAATCTATATGTATTTCTCGATATATAGGTCGCACGGTGTTACACTCTAATATTTTGGTTGTTGAACATATACCAAAATTAATACAATTTATCACGATACAACGATCTGTTGCACGTGTTTTTAGTGCAATTACACGAAAAAGTGATCCTCATGCGCCTATTAGACAGCTTTTTACGATAAATTTTTTATCAATATTGGTCGTTTTAACTTTATTTCAATAACAATCCGGAGCAATGACACATAATAAGCTTGTTCATCTATTTTGGTCAAGATTGAAGCACATATTCAAACGTTGTCAGTTTTCATTAAGAATATTAGTTGATGAAAATCGCAATAAATTTTTATACTCGCGCAATATTTTATCATCGATAATTGCAACTGGTTCTGTCTGTGCCATTTGCGGTGAATCGAGCAGCGGTAGATAAATAATTGAATGCTATTACGGGACGATTTGGGTTATCGTCGCCTCGCGGCCGACCGATATTTCCAAACGTTCGTCACCGTTGTGCCCGATAGCTGCTTACGTCACGGCCGTGACGTAGACCGCGGACGAGAATATCGTTGTTATTATTTCGCCTAGACAGTCGCGGTGGTCCACTTTACCGCGATTATTCTTCATCTGCCAATTAAATCACAATTCATCGGTCGCATCGATCGACGACCGCGCAAAAATTATGACGTCAAGCTGAATCTTTAAGTCCGAATCTTTCGGTATCAATATTATAGCAAATGAGAAAAATATATTTGACATAAAAAATGTTTTTTTTTCTAGAATTTTTAAAACTTGTAGAGCACATTAATTTGAATTAATCGATCAATTCACATTAATTTCATCTAATGTATTATTTTAGTAAATTTAGGATTATTCTAGTAGGAAAAATTTCAAATACATTTTTAATAAAGAATTATCAGTTTAAATTTTTTAGATGATATTAGCGTTATTATGGTATTAGACTTATTGCCATCGTCATTATCATCTTTGAGCTTCGCTGACAAACCAAGCACGTTTATTCAAAAATTAATAAGAAGACTATATTACTTTTTCGCTTCTATTCCACAGCTATAATTATTATTTTTTAATCGATAAATATATAAATAAATTGATATCGCGTGTTATAACCGATAACTCTTGTATACAAAAAGCCAAAGCCTCGTTGTAATTTTCATACAGCATTTAGAAAATTCGCTTTATTGGGGAGATACATTCGATATGTTTCGGGTGGGGTCTCATGGATCTTGGGATGATTAATCAACATCGCGAAATTCGTGCCGTCCGTTCCCACAGGACTTTTTACAGGTGTAATCGGCATGTCGCGGTAAATATAGTCTGGCAGTCGGCCGAGTGCAAGTCGTTTCTTTTCCGCGTACATACTTGGCTTGCACGAGACCGTAGGGAAAGAAGAGAGTATACGAGGATTACAAATATAACCACTTGCGCCGCGCGCGAGCGGGCGCAGGTGCAGCGCGACGAGGCGAGGCGAGGCGAGGCGGTGAGACAGCCGGCCGGTCACCGGTTTCGCTGCATTGCCGTGCTCGAATTGCGACAGCCGCCGATTGTAACGCTCTCGCGAGAGTAACGGCCGTGACAATGGTAAATCGGCAACTGATTTCTTCCGCGCGCTCAAAACGCGCGTCACGCCGTAAAGCCAAGTGGGCGCTGTTTGGCCGATCGATGGATCGGATGCGAGATCGCGCGACGAGAGAAGCATCGGAGACAAAAGCGAGCTGGAATCGATTATTCATAGTTGATAAAATTTGACCGATTTTCAGATTTGCTGTTACTCGGAAACTATTGTTCGAAAAAAATCGATTTTTCCGCTTTATTCAGTTGCAAAATACAAGATGTAAAATTGGAAAAATTTCTCATTGAAACGCGAACTACCGATAATTTGTTATAACATGTCAGAAATAGCGTATTTGCGCAATTAACACACGATGCATATCTCCTCTCTTTTGCATACAGCGCTTGTGCTTGTTCGTGATGAGATATTCAATATTTGGGGCTTGCATGTTAGATGGTAAAATTAATATTTTGTTATCATAACGGATTCTATTTCTGTATCATTTTGCTTCTGAAATTTGTACGTTGTTGATGCGATGCAAGATAATTCAATAAATACAATCGCGGGTATCGTTTAATCAGTAGTTAAATATGTACTTACTCAGGCATCGGACAAGTATTTTTATAGCGATGTCTGATCGCGATCGGTCATAACTACTTAACACGCCGTGCTGATTTAATTAATCTTGCAAAAACGCAAGTAAACGTTATATATCTACTCTGACGCGGTAAATAGATAAAGTTTTATAATAGTTATATAATATAATAATAGCATAATTATATAATATTATAATAACATAAATCCCTCGTCATTGTTCGTGTTCTGTGCGCACGTAGACCAGACTTTCTCGAGTCCGCGGACAGATTTAATCGGGTTTCTTGGGGGGAGAGATTTATCCAGCGGAGATCGAAGGCTCTGATCGCGCGCGATCAAAGGGTGCGCCGGGAATGAGATGTTCTCTCGGGTTGTTAGAGACGCCGACATGTTGAGAGAGAGA